TCTAGGCTAGCCTAGAACTTGAACTTGTGATCTTCCTGCCTCAGCTGCCCGAATACCCTGAGTTGCTGGGATTACAGACATGTGCCAACATGCCCAGCTCATGCCCTTTATTTAAAATTATTTGACATTTAATTGTTAATGAACATGAACACACATGCAAAAATCATATAATTGGGCACAGTGGTGCATGCCTGTAATCCCCGCTACTTGGGAGGTTGAGGTAGGAGGCTCCCAAGTTCAAGGCCAGCCTCAGAAACTCAGTGAGACCTTGTTTCAAAAAAAACCAAACCAAAAAAGGGCTAGGGATGTAGTTTTGTTGTAGTATCCCTCCATAAAAAGAAATCACAAACATGTAAGTTGATAAATTTTCCCAAAGTCATCACACTAATTAAACTAACAATCAGATGACATTTCTAGCATCCAGAACCCACTGTATGTCCCCCTTCTAGTCACTATCCCCCTAAATTTATACATACTTAAAGAATACAACTTGATATATAGGTACATAAGTATATATGTACATAATGTATACACACACACACACACACACACATATATACACATATGCCTATGAAACCTTTACCCTACTCAAGGTAACAAAATACTGGCTAGTTTCCTGTGCCCTTTTATAATTCTTCCTTCCCACTCTTCTCTTCCTCTGATCCCCATACAACTTTTAGATCAGTTTGGTTCTTTTTTTTTTTTCCCCCCCGGCGGGAGGGCAAGTACTGGGTATTGATTCTAGGGGCTCTTTACCACTGAGCTACATTTCTAGCCCTTTTTACTTTTTGAGGCAAGGGCTCACCAAGTTGCTTAGGGCATTACTAATTTGCGAAGTCTGGCCTCAACTTGTGATTCTTCTGCCTCAGTCTCTCAAGTCACTGGGATTACAGGCATGTGCCACAACACCCAGCTCAGTTTTCTTTTTTAAGAATTTCATGTAAATGGAATCATATTAGCATGGCACTCTTTTTATTGGTCTGACTTCTTTTCACTCAGCAAAATGATTTTGGGATTCATCTATATTTTTG